AAAGATTGGTAGATTGAGAGGGAAAGATGAGGACCAGGGCAGGGCAAGTAGATAAGAACGATGAGGAAGAGGTGGAGGGGGAGGAGGCAAGGACATTCGATATAATGTGTGTATGCATACGGTTGAGGACAACTCAACAGTAACGACAAGTAGTGTGACATGGGTAAGGAAAACGTAAAGAACAGCGTATCGTCACCAGACAGCAAAAGGAGAATGGGTATGAAGCTCGACCTTTTATCATTTCTGTGTAGCAGTAATTACGGCTCAGCTTCCCCTGCTTTGGATGAATTTTTGACCTTATCGCGGTAAGTTACGTGCTAAATCTCAGTTTTCCCAATAGCTAATTCTATGTTCACAGTGTAGATTTATGTCACTTCACGGCTCCCGTACTTAAAAATAACAACAGCAACAAAACAAATTTTGAACTTGAACGAAAAAAAAAGAATTTCAAGAAATCACTGAAAAAAAAATAGCTGAATAGAAGAACAAATGGTAGTAGTATTGACGTTTACACTGAATCATCATTGGAAAGTTACTTTGATTAATGAAGAGTAGAATTCAAGTGATGGAAAAGCAAAACAGCTAAATGTAATTAATGAAAGCATAGTGATTTTAATTAAGCAATTAAATCGTCAAAATTTTATCCTTTCGTTTCATTCTCGAGAGTTAGGAGGAAAGAAAAAGAATATATTGTGGTGATAAATGATCGATTGGGTGATAATAATAATGTCGGAACATTTTAACGATTTCTTTCTTGTTTATCATCTTCATTGATGAATCATTCAGCTTTTCTGTTTTGAATCCATTTAATCCAAAATGTTGCATGCATTCTTTGCGTCTATTTAACAAAATTCATTGATTAAAAAATTAAATTTGAAAATAATTGACAAAATTTCCAGTGAAATTAAAGAAGCAAATGAAATCGGATCGATTTGTTTCAACGAATTATTTAAACAAAAAATTACAATGTGAAGGTAGTAGAGCAGAATGACCTCACTGAAAGTTAAATAAATGCTCTTGTTTACAATGTTTCACTCCTGTCTTTGTGTGTGGAATGGAACATTTCCTTAAATTGAAGAGTGTC